TGGTCCTGGCACTTTCGTTGCTCCAGGCAGGTTACTCAGCTTTTCCCAGCTTCACAGTCCCCATCTGTTGAACTGGAGGGGACAGTGGAACCTGCCTGAGAGTAGGCAGGGCACACACATGGCACATGCAGGTGGCCACAGCACTGAGCACCTTGACGCTGATGAATCTTGTATGCAAGTGCACAGCTGGCACTGAGTGGGTCCTTCTATTACGTGATGTCAGGAGTGTCTCCTTTATCAAGAAAAAAAAAGATCTTTATTTTCAACTTTTTACAGCTCTAATTATTCAACAAACCAATGAAGATCTTAATTCTTCACCGTCAACACCAGGAGCCAGGGAGAGGATGCAGTGGGGACAGAGAGAACGGATGGAGCCGGCGGTCGAGTGGGCCCCCTGTGTCGGGGCAGGGACGAGAGGGCGCTCCCTAGTTAGGGTCGATGCCCCCGCTCTTGTCCTGGCTTGAATTCACTGATGGTCGTTGTGCTCGTCTTTGACTACATATCTTTAGGCTTCTAGATCTTCTGCAGGGCTCTCCGAGGTCCCTTTGTGCCTTGCTTAGCTTGTTTGCAGCACTAAGGTATCGCCGCATGGCCCAGCCTCTGCTTGGCCCCCATTCCTTTTCCTGACTCCCCACCCCTCCATTTCCAGCTCTGAGTCACACCTTCTCCCGATCCCCTCAGGGGCTGGCCCTCTGCGGCCCCACCCTCCTCACGCACCCTCCAGGCTGGAGGGACCCCGAGCTCTCCAGACTCCTAACCTCATGCCCCGCTCTGCCCACCCCGCAGCATATGCCCTGGAGATGCCTCTGGATTATCTCCTAGGGACACCTTGCCTGGGATGAACCTCACGGGGTTCGGGGGTGCTGGGAAACTCCATGTGGGATTTGTGGGTGAGTTTGGTTGGGGAGGCAGGCAAGGGAAGGCCGCTCTGAAAGCAGATTTTCATAGGTGCGATTTTCCTCCCCTTCCTGGACTTCAAAAGGGACGGGGTTGTCAAACCGACTCCTTCATGTGTATCAAATCCCACATCCCCCTGCAGAGGAGCCCTGTCCAGGTGGAGTGACAGGCAGGAGAACAGGCCTGAGGCCACTCTGCTTCTGCCTGGTGCCTTCTCGACATGGGACTTAGGGCTCCCCAGGAACCCGCAGCTGCTGCCCCTTCACCTTTCAGTGGGGCATGTGTCGTCTTCTCTGGGCAGCCGTGAAGACTGGGCTAAAGTAGGACATGCACAGCCCGGGCAGTGGCTGTAAAGGGGTTTGCTGCTTGCCAGCCACAGCTGGCATGGGATGTGGAGGGGTCTCCATCTTGTTTGGTTGTTATGGAGATTAAATGAGCTAAGGAAAACGGAAGATGCTCTGAAAACGCTAAGAGAGGCAGGAGAAGCCAATCAGCCACCCCTGCAGCACTGAGCCCAATCCTATTCTCAGTGCTTGACAGATGCTGGGGATTATAACCCCTGGGAGGAAATTGGGGTTACAATCATCATTATAACTTTCCAGGAGGAAACTGGGGGTCAGAGAGGTTAGGCTGCATGTCCAACATCACACAGACTTAGTCTGCAGAGAAGAAATTCAAACACAGGCTTAGGGGCTCCAGAATCCTGTTCTTAACCACCATGCCATATGTTTGGGACATGCCCAGGGGGATGCCTTCTAAGGCAAGGGCTGCCTCGTGTTCCTGGCTGAGGGAACTGTGCTTTGTTTTGAAATAAGCAGGAAATCACTAGAGATTTGTGTGCAGGGTAGGATCAGTAACTCGGACAGGTCCTTGCTTTAACAAAATCACTCTTGAGACCTCAGGAAGGCTGGATTGGACTAAGGAGACTTGGGGGACAGAGAGGCCATTAGGAGGCTTGTGTTGAAGGTGGCCGTGGGCTGAGACTTCATCAGCTCGTGAGTCACTTCTGGAAGCCAATGACAGCTGGTGTCTGGCCTTCCCTCGTCAGCTGCTTGGGCCACAGAGGTCGGCTGAATGGGCTTGAGTTCTCCGCTGGGGCAGACAGGCCGAGATCCAGATGGGGAAGCCAGGACAGCCTGGGGACTCTCCTGTCTTGTCTCCTGTTTTCCGTGCAGATGGACTTCAGAGAAGCCGCTTGCAGGCCCTGGGAGGTAAAGAATGAGTCTGAGTGCCGGAGCTGAGCACAGAGCCTCTTGCTCCGCTGGGACCTGCAGCCTGCAGGGTGAGGGTTCTGGCCCCTCTCCTTGGCCCTGAAGGGTGGGGCCCAGCCTTTTCTGGGGGTGCCTGACCTGAAGTGCTGCCTGTGGCCAGGCAGGCGAGTCTGTCTAAAGCAGGACAAATGTTAGAACACCCCTGTGGCCACACACTGAAGCTATGTCCTGGAAGCTGGGTTTCATGAGTAGCAATGCTAGTATTTTGTTTTTCCACTTTGATTCTGTTGTCTATATCTGGGTTGTTTCAAACTCAGGCGAGAAAGAAACTGTTAATTATTCCTCCCCTCTCAAAAAATGGGCTTGGGCTTAGGAAGAGAGGCAAGGCTGTCCCTGTGTTTGGCAGGCCAAGAAGGGCTGGCCACACACCTGGTGGGTAGACTGTGTCTAGACCTCTGGCTCCAGAGTGCCAGGAGGGGACTCTGGAAACTGCATCTTTAACAATCACCCAGGTGATTCTGAGCTTCATTTGAGGACCAAAGTCATGGCAGATGTCCCAGGCATTGGAGTCTCGGCAAGGCCGCAGGGGGAGTGAGTCTCAGGGCAGCCCCCGGCTGCGGGTGGGGTTTGCTCAGGACTAGTTGATGGTGGGAGAAGCCAGTGGGCACCTGGATGCTGGCGGCGGTGTTGGTATTCTAGGAGCCAGCGGGAGTCCCTTCCCACCTCCTTACAGGAAGTTGGGTGCACAATTTGGGAAAAGGCAGAGAGCACAGATGCTGCCTAGGCAACAGCAACTCTGGCTTCACCCCTGCAGGGTAACCTTGTGCCACCAGCTGCTGCTCTGGGTTGTGGTGCAGAGAAAAGGCCAGAAGTTTTCAGAACAACGCCCGGGGCTTTGGCAGAAGGGGGAATTCCTGATTCAGTTGTCTTGAGAACTTCCTCTGCATCCTTCACCCATTGCTCAATTGCTGGAGTGTCTCTTCTGTGCCTAGCCCTGTGTTGGAGTTGAGAGGCCATGAAAAAAACAAGACATGACTTTTGTAAGCAGCCAAAGGGATTTTATTCCTTGAGAATCTGTGCCCTTTCAATGAGAATGTGAGGTTTTGCCATGGAGCCACAAAACCTCCAAGACGTTTTACTTTGGTAGAAGATGAGACGGATCCATCAGAAACAGGCTCCGATCCTGACCCTCAGCTTCCAATTTCCAAACTCCCTGCCAACATTTCAAATATAGCTGGACTTTTAAATTTAGACCACCGCTCGGGAACAGAAGTGAAATGCAGAGAAGAGGCTGTTTCCGGCATCTCTTCAGGAGCCAGAAGGAGGTCAATGAATACTAAAGGTTTGTAGCATCAAAAGGCTATGCTGAAAATAATTCTCATGGCCACGTAAAAGGTAGTGAAAACTAAGAAATGCAGCCTATCGTCCTACCCAGTTTTGGAAATGCTCTCTCATGTCACCATGGCGCTGGTCTCCAGGACGTACTGGCCAGAGCCTGGTGACTTCCGAGTATGTTTATTGAGCTGCCTGAGATGCCGGGCTGCGAGCTGTGACATACAGCTCCGCAAACACACCCAGACGAGTTCCTCACCCTCTTGCCACCCCACCCCCTTTGAATTGCTTTCCCCCTTAGTTTTAGCCCAGGTTATTTTTAAACTAAGTGTAGACATTCTTTATTCTTTTGCTTTGTGATTGCTGAGAAATACACAAGGTGTAGCTATAAAATGATGGAACACGTTTTTACATGGGGGTGGCCTCATCACATGTATATACATGTATATGTATATGCACGTAAACAACACGCTCCTTCAGTGAGGCCATCTAAAAAGGCTAAAAAGTTAATAAAATGTGGTATACGTATACCATGGAGTACTATTCAGCTCTAAGAAACAACAGTGATATAGCACCTCTTGTATTTTCTTGGATGGGTTCCAACCCATTCTACTAAGTGAAGTATCCCAAGAATGGAAAAACAAGCACCACATATACTCACCAGCAAATCTGTATTAACTGAGCAGCACCTTAGTGGACACATAGGAGCTACAGTAATAGGGTATTGGGTGGGTGGGAGGGGGCAGAGGGGTGGGTATATACATACATGATGAGTGAGATGTGCACCGTCTGGGAGATGGTCACGCTTGAAGATCAGACTTGTGGGGGGGGGCAAGGGCATTATTTGAAACCTTAAAATTTGTAGCCCCATAATATGCTGAAATAAAAAAAAAAAAAGTTCTTCCAAAGACGCTGGCTTGGAAAGAGTCATTGTTGGAGTCCTCTTTGGGTACTGATGGCAGGCCTGATGTGAAGCCCACACACTCCATTACACTGAAGTTTCACCTCGTTTGGATCCAGTGTTGTGCCACGCAGAGTCAGCCACCTCACCTTACTAGATCTGAACCCAAATGAGGTGTGGGCACTCATCCAAGGGGGAGGGCTTGCAACAGTGCAGCTCTGCAGCAGGGCCAGAGAGCCTCCCGGCCCTGCCCCCACCCCCCGGCAGAGAGTGCTGCTTTGCGAAGTTACTCTCCTGAAGGTGCAGTCACTGTCCTGTGTCCTCTGTGCTCCCACCATGCTGGGCCTGGGCCACTGGCAGCATTTCTGGGGTGTGCTGGGGACAGCTGGAAATGTATTTTTTGTTGCTGTCTACCTCCCCTTGCCCTCGAGACTGTGGACTCAGAATTCCAAGCCCAGCACAGCGACAGGTGCGCGGTGGGCTGACCTGAATTGTTGTGCTGGCAACGACACGATATCTATATGATCTTTATGTATCTAACACTTCCAACTTGTATTGCAACTGCCCCTAGCCCAGCTCTTCCTCCTCACTACTGGGATCTAACTGGGAAGGAGTCTACAGCAGATTCCTGCTCTTATACTGGTGTGGACTTCGTGGGATAGGGCAGACAGAGTATTCGTTGCATTTATTTGTTCTATGACTACAGAAGAAGCATTTCAAAATGTGTACGAAAGGATACTCTATTCCTCCAGTGGTACATCCCTTGTTCACAGCCAAACAGCAGTAATTTAACATTGTCCCAGAGGCAGAATGGAAATATGACTGCAATTTCTCATTTACAATCCTGTGCATGTACTTGCTGGAAGGGCAGTTAAAGACCTACAGCTGTATTAGGTACAAACAGATTCAACCTTAACAATCACCACACACAACATTATAAAAAAGTGTATTAGAAAGTATTGGAAACAATATTGCATATTAAAATCTGATTACATGTGTTCACAGTGAGTGCCATTGCACCAAAAGCATATGTGCTTCTTTTTTTCGATGCCTGTACATCTTAAATAAGTCTAATTTTGGCTCATTTTAAAGTAAAAAACATTGAAACAAAAGAGAGAGACCTGGATTTTAAACAGAGTTGACCGATCATTGTTGCTGGAACTGAAGAAGTGAAGCGTGGAGAAGCACGTTTGTGTCATGACTGGTCTACATGGAGTCCAGTTCCTCTCGCTTTTGTTTTGGCAGGAAGAGGGTGCTACAAGAGTCACAGTGCAGTCAAAACAAAACAAAACAAGAAGAAAAAGCACAAAAATAGGGGCGAAACCCATAAAATAAACCCATATCTCAGGCAGCTCTCTTTCTCAATGAAGATTCTAAGATTTTATTATCTGGTTGATTCTAAATTTGAAATGGAACATGCTGGTACCTGAAACAATTGGTGCTGGGACATGCCCTTTGGTGATAATGCAGCAATAATGCAATGACTTTTAGTGACTTGGAATTAGGACAATCACACCGTCTAGGTACAAATTACAGAAGAAGCGTGGAGCAAAGAGCGGAGGCCAGGCTTGCCACATCGTGGGAGGCTGGGGTGACAGGGAGGCGGAGGGAATGAGAAACAGCGATTTCTAGCTGTACTCAACAGGTCAGCCTGCTACTGGTAACCCTCCTGTCTCTGATATTTATTTTAAATACAGTGAGGATGCAGGGAATCTACGCACATAGCAGTACACAGTGGTACCCAAGACACACACTCACGCCATCATACAACAGAACAAACCACAGAACAAAAAGTGTGAGCTCATGCAAAATCCTACATTTACCAGCTAGAAGAAAAACTTCAGCAACTTTTGGTACATAATATGGCCACCTTTCAAACATAATTTAATTACTTGTTGACATAATATGAAACCTTACTTTAAATACAATAGCTTCAAAGAAAAATGGTGTTACAATATAAATCCACAACAAAAGATATGTAAATAGACATTTATATTGGCTATAAAAGGCAGTGAGAGGAAAGGGAAAGGCATTTTAGAAAAGAATTCCTGCTGCCACTATTTACAGTTCTGGGTTAAGCTTTGTTTGGACCCACTTAAAAAGTAATTCCTGTCAACCAACTGTCTCTGTGGGGTGGATGGAAAAGAACAGGGTAGGTGAAATTTGCCAGGAAAACGGAAATCTAAGGAGGCTCTTGGAGATTTAAGATATTAAATCTTTGAAGGTACTAATTTGGATAGGCATATGTTTCTCTGCACTGGCATATTGAACGACAGCTGTCCACCACCCTGCCTCTCTCTCCCTTCACTCAGCGCACCGGTGTGGCAGAAGGTAAATTATTACAATTTTATTTATTCCAGTTTCAAAATGCCACACCATTCTGTAAGCAAAGAAATCTATGACTCAAGAATGATATCTTTGTAAATTCCCTCCTCTCAACAAAACCCAAATGTCCACAAGGAAATACATTTTTGAAGACTGAAGGAAGAATAATTCATTTATAGAATTTGTGATTCTAAAGGAGAACAAGTCCCACTTAATATTGCTGATTGAGAAAATTCTTCAAGTGCTTTTATTTTTGGAAGGCTTCCCAGACCTTTGATTGGTTTAGAATTCATTTAGATCAGTGGTTCTCGACCAGGAGTGTTCGCCTACCCCTGCCCCTGGGACGTGTGAGAACGGCAATCATCAATCGGGGACACTGTTGGCATATGCTGGGTCGCCACCAGGGATGCTGCTGAGCACCACACAAAGCACGGGAAGGTTTCCCCACAACAAATAATCATCCAGCTCAGAATGTCAGCAGTGCTGAGACTAAGACCCCTGGTTTAAATTAAATGCTGAGATGCTTATATACAATTTCCCCTCTGTTTCTTCATGTTCACTTTAGTACGGTTTTGGCAAAGACAAGTACCATAAATATTTGAAATTGTATATCTTTCTTTGGTTGGGAGTAATGACCTTAATGATGGCATTAATCTTGAGAGACACTCTTCCTGGGTGCGACTAGAACCCCCACACACTTGACTCGGGCCTCAGTGCATCCATGCCTTAGCACGGGTGGGCGGGGTGGCCTCCTGCCTTTCCTGGGAGACCTGCTGGCCCTTACTCTCTGGGGCATCCGGATTGGGCAGGCGATTGCTCTGTAAATTCCAATATCCTTCAGCAATACCAGTTGCAAACCACTCATCCTATCTGTGTGGACACACATGCTGCTTTGTCTTTATGGTAGAGAGTGTCAGCATGTTTGAAAATTTAGTTGCAAACAGGTGAATTCTGTATATTAGTGACAGAGACCCTGGGCTTCACATATATCATTGATCTAAAAATTAATGAACCTTCTAAATCATTATTTTATGGGTTTTAAAACAAGAATAATATACAAGGAGGGTAGGGAAAGAAATTTACTAACACTAGGAAATCCAGGCCTGCAGCTACAAACAAATGTATATAATTAAAATGAGGGCTAGGATTGGACTTCTGTAGGAAAATAGACTTCAGGTCTTACGTACAACCAGCCAGGCGAGGAAGAGACAACCAGAGAAACGAGTGTAGATTTGAAATGAAGCTTTGGTTTCTGAGGAATTTTACTGTTTGAAAGGTTCAAAAAGAATTAAGGTCCAAATTTTGGGACTGGTGTTTAAAATGTAGTGATAGACTTTTTAGGCTATTAAAGGCGTGGGAATGGAAAAGCAGGAAACAGGGCTCTCCAGATACGCCCACAGGAAGACGGAGTTCATCCTACCTGGCCAAGCCTAGGGAGGCCCAGCATTGCCTGAGCGACACCCTCGAAGCCTAGAAACCGAGGAGGGGTCTAACAGGCTCCCTAACACCCCTGCCCTCTGCCCAGGCAGCCCAACAGACACAAGTTTTCCCAATTCATTTTCCTATGCAGAATATGACTTAAAATACTATTTTCTTTCAGAAGGTGCAGGCTTTCTGCCCTAGATGCATGTGGCTCGTGGCTGTGGCTTTGGCATGGGTCGCTGGCCCTACTGCATCCAGACCTCCCAGGCAGCCACACACCTGTCCGGTTTGCTCACCTGCAGAGAAACACCCCGGCCATGTGCTGCTTCTGGGGACCTGGGGAAGACACCTGGTGTACAAAGCCCGTGCTTAGCACAGGCACCAGCTCACCCCTCCCCGGGCTTTGGCCTGTTTCACATAATTCTCTGCACGTTGCGACTATTTGGAGAAAGGGACTCTAGGAAGCAGCAAGTGAGGGGTTTCAGCTAGTTCTAGGGAGAGACAGCAGTTCTGGGTGCGCCCGGTGCCTCCCTGCCTGCAACAATACAAATCTCCTTGTTTCCAAAAGCAAATCAAACCCGAAACAACTTAAAAAAATCAAAACCACCTATGAATGGAAAGGCAGCGCGCGGAGCGGCCAGCCCGGGCGGCGCAGGGGCGGCGGCCGCCTTAGCTCAGGTGGAAGCGGTGCTCCCCGCGCGTTATGTGCGACGAGAACTCGTAGCGGTCCTGGCTGTGGTAGCCGCACATGTTGCACTCAAAAGGATCACGGAAGCCGTGGCAGCCCATGTGGATGGTGTACATGACGTGGTCGAGGAAGAGCACCCTGCAGTGTTCGCACTTGTACACCTTCATCTGCTCGCCGCTCAGGCTCACCACGCGCAGGGCGTCGTGCGCGCCGTCGGACGCGGCGCGCAGCAGCTCGTAGGCGCGCTGCTCGTCCTTGAGGCCCAGGCCGTTGCGCGCGTGCGGCGCCATGTGGTTGGTCAGGTAGATGAGGCCGCCGCGCTGCTCCTCCGCGTTGCTCTCGGTGTCCGTGGAGTCGTGGCCGCTGTTGCTGGGCGACGCCTCGCGCTCCGAGGGCGCCGGCTTGGCCTTGGCGAGCAGCAGCAGGTTCTCCACCGCGCCGTCCTGCGCCGCGGGGCTGGGCCGCGGGCCGCCGTCGCCCGCGCCCTTGTGCAGCGGGAACAGCGGGCTGATGACCGGGACCGCGTCGGCGCCCGGCGGCGTCTGCACCAGCGGCCGCAGGGACTCGGCCCCCAGGTAGCTGATGGCGTTGTTGATGGCTTGGTCCATCACGTGCGACTTCATCATCTCGCTCTCCTTCTCGTAGCTGGCGCTGCTGTCGTAGGCCAGGTCCGGCAGGCACTTGTCCCCTGTGGGTGGCGGGCGACAGTGAGTGAGGCGGCCAACAGCTCGTCCGCGGAGGGAGCAGGCGGGCCGGCCACGCGCCGCCACGCGGGAGGCACGCGCCTGCCTGCTGGCCCCGGCCCCGGCCTAGCCACTGCGGGCACTTAACGAAATTTGATTGGATAGATAAATAGAAAGAATTGGGGAACCGGGCCGGCGCGGTGGCTCACGCCTGTAATCCCAGCACTCTGGGAGGCCGAGGCGGGCGGATCGCTCAAGATCAGGAGTTCAGCCTGACCAAGAGCGAGACCCCCGTCTCTACTAAAAACAGAAATAAATTAATTGGCCAACTAAAAATATATAGAAAAATAAAAATTAGCCGGGCATGGTGGCGCATGCCTGTAGTCCCAGCTACTCGGGAGGCTGAGGCAGGAGGATTGCTTGAGCCCAGGAGTTTGAGGTTGCTGTGAGCTAGGCTGACGCCATGGCACTCTAGCCCGGGCAACACAGTGAGATTCTGTCTCAAAAAAAAAAAAAAAAAAAAGGATAGAGGAATCAAAGATCGTGCCAATTTAAACAGTACACATTTAAATGGCCAAAACCCAATGCTTGTGCCTTTTATTAAGGATGGTAGAATTCAACATCATCTTTAACTTAATATTATTTAATTTAATTATACCATTATAGTTCATTTAATATTTTAAATTATGTCTTTTCAATAGAATGTTCTAAGTAAGTTACAACAAATGGCTTATTTATCATATATTTATGTAACTCCAACACATAGTAATTATATTATGGTTCATAATAATGTGCCATATAGATATTTAAAATAATATTATGATATAATATTAAATCATGATTTTAATAGTCTGGAATAAAATTCAATTAAAATATAGGATGACTACATATCATTTATAATAAAATTATATATTTCCTATAAATAACACAAAGGTAAATGGGCTCTAATTCATGATGTGAGTAAAAAGGATACTCAGACCTAAAAAATAATTCTCCATAATTGGCAGCACAGAAGCATATGGTAAAAAGTAGGAAGCAAAACAAGGAAGCTACAGGGGAAAATGGTAGGCTACTCATCTATTATTTTTGAAAAGTACTGATAATTAGTGATGTACAAGGAACTATTGCTAAGGACCCAGCAGTGACTGGGTCCTGGCCTCTAGAACCTTATGGTCTAATATCATTGGTTTGTAGGAGAAGATGTGCTCACATGTCATTATAGGTTAGAAGAAGCAATTATACAGCATTACTGACACCACACAAGCTTTTTCTGCTTTTGTGTCAAGGTGCTGAATGTCTTGTTACACTAACCCCAGAAGAGAATGAACCCATTTGGGTTTGTACCCAAGTCTGTCCCTCTATCATACCTTGGCAAGCAGAGCAGGAGAGTGGACTTTGTGGCCAGTTTTGCTGAATATAAAAGTGTTTGTAGCCCCACCCAAAATGGTGCTTCCCCACCTCCTCATCCTGTCTCTCCTTAAAGTCATGGTTCTGTGGTTTCCCACACAACCATTGAAATCTGTCGTTTCCAAAACTTGGTATCGATAAAAAATGGTTGTAGGAAAAAAAATCAGCATATATTCCAGATTCATATGGTATATGGAAACTACCCATAGAATTTCTCTTCCCTATATCCCCCCAAAATGAGAAAAATAAAAACCTACAAAATTTACCAACAGCAATCAGATAAATGAAGGAATATATCCTAATGAAACACACACACACACAAACACACACACACACACACTCCAAGACCAGGGAAAGAAACAGAAAATGCTGGGATGAGATATTGGGCAAAGCCTGGCTGCTAATCTCACCTCCAGAAACCTTAGGTGTGCATCAACAACATCCTCATCATTTTCCCTAATATCCTCATGTCTATACAGAAACAAGTCAAACATTTAATAGGTATCTGATGCCTGATTAAAGAGCAGCTGAAATTCTGCTAGTAAGAACCAGATGACGGTGGAGAAGTACATAGTGAGGCTGGCTCTCTAAGTTAGAAGCAAAGTCCTCCATGGTCTATGCTGAAGAGGAAGATGGCCCAAAGCCCCCAGAGTATTTGCTGTGGGAATGGGAAGCACTCCCCAACGAGGTACAGTGCTGCTAGTTTAGGCCACATAACCAAATCTCAGAACAAGGGAGAGAGAGAGCAAAGGAAAAGTATTTTAACAAAGGTTGCACTCTGCCTCACTCAAATTAACCCCAAGCCCATCCTTGACAGTCTTTCAGGCTTTAGAAAACTTGATAGAAACTCAACAGCTCTCACAGGAAAAAAAAAGTCCCAATGGGAAGAATGTTGAAATGTCAGTCAACCTGTATCAGACCAAGCAAAATAAGCAAGATGAAAGGAATTGTCATGGTTACTATGAAAATATTTTCTAGCAATACAGAGGAAGAAAGGAAGTAAAACATAGACCAATAAGCCAATCTTTGGTTGGGGGGAGACCTTAATTCAAGGAAAAAAGGAAATGTCTCATAAATGTTTCATGACATGAAGTCAAATTTTAAAAAATATTCAAAGATGACATGTAAAAACAATAGAGTGAGAGGAAAAAAGATCTCAGCTCTCAGGAAACAAAATGAAGGACAAAGCAATATTATTACAGAATTAATACATATATTAGAAATAGAGAGTAATAGAACAGAAACTACTAAAAATTGAATTACTGACATATAGGAAAAATATAACAGTGAACAAATGTAAAAAAGACAAATAAAAATAAGCTTAAAGAAATGCTAACAGATGTGGAAGACAAATTATCCAACATATGGACAATTGGTATCCTTGAACAGAGAGCACAGTAGATAGAACAAAACATAAATTTACATAAAAAACAATTTCCCAGAAATAAAGAGAAAAAAAGGGAATCTCTAGATTAAAATAGCAGGAAATTTTTATTTAGAATGCAAAACACCAAGATACACCCTAGCTAGGTTATTTAACTTTAAGGTTAAAGACAAAACCCTTCAGGCATTCTGGGAGAACATGAAAATCATCTTAAAGAAGAAAAAAGTCAGACTGGCCTTAGACATCTCCACAGCAACATTTGATAGGCAATGCCATTAGGCAACATGGCAAATCCAAAAGTTCTTAGAAGGGGAAAAGAAAAAGAGTGATCCAAGACCATACACTGTCAAGATGCTCTTCAAGTATGAAGGCAACAGGCTGATCTCCTCAAACACAAAACAATGGTGGAAACAGAACACCTATAAACCATTTTGAAAAAGTTGCTTGAATGTAAAGTACAATCAATTAAAAGATTATTCAAAATAAACAGAAATAATAAAGGAGCTGGGTCGGATCCTTGAATCTGTTTAGAGAGCTTGTAACAAATAGCTAACCTACTATAACTATTATGATTATAGAACAGAATGCGAATATTATGAAGCTAGACAATGTAAAAATAATAATATAACTGTGAACACAGGGAACTAGAATAATGTCCTTATTTTCAAAGCAATGAGCCAGTAGATACTCCTAAATTCAAACAAGTTGATTAAAAACAAATTGAAAGTTCTTAATGATTTTCACATATGTATTTTTAATCTTAGAGGATCCTTTAAAATAATATTCATTTCTGTAAGAGAATGGTTATTAGAAGATCATCCAGTCCTTCAGTTTTGTTAGGGTTCTTTTTTATCTCCCAAATTTAAGATATGTATAAAATGATAAAATCTTTAGGAAAGTATTTATTTCATACCTATCTATCCACCAGTACACCCATTCATCAACCTATCCACTCACAACATACATAGAAAGATATTTACAATGATACTTAATAACTTTTAATAGTGGCTATTTCTGGATGTTGGGTTTTATGGTGATTTGAAAACATTAATTTTTGCATTAAAATATTTTATATTAACTATGTCAATAATACAACAGAGTTTCTTTTTCTTACAAAAGAAGAAAATATATCAAGATAATTACAATAGGTAGCAGGAATATTGATAATTGTTATTTTTCTCTTCATGCTTTTCTATATTTTAATAATGTTCTCACCACAATCACCAGACCAAAAATAACGATTCGCATTGCTATTTAATATTATCATCTTTCTGACTGAATTCATGGATCCTGTTGACCTGAATCTGATTATCTCGGAGGGTGAGATCTTTGATGGCCCTAATGTTGAGGAATGTTGCTGGCAAAACAAATATTTATTCATACTCATGCTGAAGTTTAATGTAAAAAATTAATCATAGCTCATATATCAATAAAGCTAAAATATATGCCCTTTTGAGTAATATTCAATATGACAATAATATCCTCTTACATTTTAAGGTGCTTTCTAGTGTTGAGGGCACTGTCACATCCATCATCCCTTTTGATTCTCAGAGTAGTTCTGAGGAGGCAGGGAGACAGGCCCATTGCACAGATGGCAACACTGAGTCCAGTGCTGTGCTCAAGGCCACCAGTTGGTCCCAGCTGGAGCTGGACCCAGGAGGTCTGTCCACTCCCCCACCACTGGGCCGGATACACGAGAACGGCTGGTGTGGCTACCCACTGTGGCTGAGCCATGTGAAGGGCAGACTCCGCGTCCCCGAGGTGAAAGGGCACTGGAGATCCAGCTGCCTTTTTATTTTAGAGATGGAGAACTGGACGCCTGGGAGTCACACAGTAGAAGGAAGTCCCAAGGAGTTGGAGCGGGGTAGGTATTTTAGGGCAGAAGAGGCGTTATTTGAGAAGTGAGCTGGCAATCTTCAGCTCATGGGGAAATACCCAGACGCCGCAGCTGCTCATGAGCCTTTTGCTTCAAGCTCCACTTCTGCTGCCCTTGTCCTACTGTTCCCATCACGTTCTTCCTCGTGTGCCCAACTTCTCCCCTGTCGCCTTGGCTTTGCTCTATCATGCTCGTTTTTTGTTTTTCTTTTCATTTAATAAGGAAGCCTCTCAAGACCACACCCACGTCGTGGTCTCGCCCAGAGTGGCTCCGGCAGAGTTTCGCAGACGAGTTCCTCACTTGGTTCGAAGCCTCCCAAAGCTAAAAGGGGCTGCAACTGTTCACTCACCAAAGCACTGGCACCGCACAGGCTCCCGCCCTGACGGAGGAGGCTGCCCTGCTTCCCGAGGACAGTAGCTCTCCACAGCCCCGCCCATGTCCCAGCACCCATCTCCCCAGGGGCCCAGTGCTGTGGAACCCCCCTGCTTATGCTCAGCACAGGATCCACCCCTCCTCTGCTCCGGACACCGAGCTCTCCTTCGCTCTCGTGGCGGAAAGTCGCACGTGTATGCGGGCAGCTCCCGACATGGGGTCTCTAGACCGTGGCCTTATTCTTTTTTCACACCGAGCCCTTCCTTCCCTTGCTCCTGCCAGGCTCCAATCTATGACTAGTCTCTCCGTAATCAACAGATCAAAATGGAGCCTTATTTAAAGTTGCAAGAGGGAGGCTGGTGCCCAAGAACTTGGCCTCCGCTCTGTCCTCCCGCTCTGGGCCCCTGGGCCCCACTAACCACGGTTCTACCATCCCCACGTGCCCCAGACAGCAGGAGGCGCTTGAAAATCAGCACATCAAAAGCAGACCCCTATCTTCCCCCATATCCTGGCTCCATCCTCTCTGTGGAGGGCGCACACTCTACTGGAGTCAGCATGGCTCACAGCGTCCCTCACCCGGGCCTGCCCTGACCCAGCCTGCCTTTCGCCAAGCCCTGCCCACGCGCCCCCTTTCCATGCCTGCTGCTGCGCCTCCCGCTCGCCCTCCTCTGTCTGGTTTTGGCACCTGCTGTCTCTGCCTTCCAAGCTGTTTATTTCAAAAGCATGTCAATTCTTCTTTCCTGCCGACTGACTGAGGGGTCCAGTTCTCACTGTGGCAGCCCAAGGCCATTTATCCTGTGGTCAGAGCTACAGGGACAGCTTCTCTGCTCTTGCTTCCCCGGTGAGTACCGGGGTTAAGCCAGCTCCTTCATCAGGTCCCGACTCTGCCTCCTGCGACTGCATCCCTGTGTCTCTTTATTTTTACCTGCCCGCCTAGAACTCTCCATTCCTCCCACACCCATAACGTGCCAGAATCCATCCTCTCCCAAGGTCTGTCTCTGCTTCATGAAGCTTTTGCTGGTCCTCTTTCCGGGACGGAGCCGACCTCCACGCTGAGGATTCTCAACGTGCCCACACCCCTGGGGGCTCTGCAAGCCCACCATCACCCTGTGAGATGCTGACGTGCAGAGGCAGAGCCCTCTCGTCAAGGTGACAAAGCGAGCCAGCAGCTCCACACCGACCTCAGGTTTGTTCCCGAGCCTAGCACCTTTCCACTCGGACACCTGCCACACCATCCGTGTTGACTTACGGTGGGTGCCTGCCCTGGGTGACAGGTGCTGGTGTGCCTGTCTATCGTCTACGCTAGGCAGTGGCTCCTCGGGGAAAGGGTGTTTATCCCTCACGGTACCTGGCACAGGTGGGGCTTCCATGGTCAGAATAGCAATTCGCCATGCCCTGTCTTCACTAGACACTCATGGGGCCATCCGCTGTGCGATTCCTCCCGCTAACCCTTCCCAGTCCCCCATAAGGGGGGCGCTATGAGCTCAGAGCGGCTGGTCAGAGGCGGGTGTCCTGCTGTGCGGCGCCCCCTCCCGACCCGTGTGCACGGATCCGGCCGCACCAGAGGGACGATGTCCACAGGCAGATCACACTGCGGACCCCAGAGGCTGCAGAGTCACACCTAGCAAAAACTGGTGGGAACAGGTTTGTTATTTTTAAGACCCTTATTGGAAAAACACTAAGATATTTAAGAAATATTAAACTTGCCAATTTTTGCTTTTTGAAAAATAAAATTTCTTTTCCTTTATTCTAACTTCAACTAATTTCCACTTTTGCCTAAAACACCTGCATAGTTGTTTTTTAAGAGACAGCAAACGTTTAACTCTTACCAAGAAATTTCTGAGGCATAGAGCTCTTACGTTTGGCGACGTTACTTGCTAGTCTGTCCAGCACGAGGGATCTCTCTGATCCTATCTTGCACAGGTCTTCTGCCATTTCACTGTGATTAGTTTCTTCTTTAATGACTAAAGTCAAAGACAGTTAGAGAGGCCAGTTTAGAAACTCTTATGTTTGAAGGATTCAGTTGTGTCCAGTGTTAAATATGACATTTGTTAAGTGCCTACAAGAGCCAGGCCCTTTGTCGAGGTCATTTCTGATCTTCTCAACAATTCTGCCAGGAGAGAATGGCCCTAGCAATGCCAGTGACCGGCCACCTGCTAATGCTCCTTCCACCAACACCTGCTAACTGCACATCACCCCCTAACACCAAAAGAACAAGCACCACCACCATTGCCAGAGGCTGGAAGGGGATCCTGTAAGTGTGTCCCTTTGAAGGGTCTTTTTAACTTTTCAAAATACTCTCAAATACACTACCTCAGTCAGTCCTAGCAATAGCCCTCTGAGATGCAAAGAACTGTCACATCTAGAAATGACCTAAGGCTTTGACTCCACCAACTGGTGCAGCAAACTGAGATGCATAAGTGCGGCCTCTCAAGATCCTACAGCAAATCTTGGCAATGTGGGGAAGGAACCATTGCTACTTAGCCCTGAGCACACAACGACCTCCGGGAAATCAAATAACACCTGCATATTGTAGAAAATGGAAATTAAGGAGGTAAAAGTTGATGTATGGGCTATTTCTAGTCAGTCTCTATTTTTCCATATCATCTCTTTCTTTCCATAACTGAAGGTACAACTTTGTATCCTGCATGGTCCCATTAACTTCTACTTTTTATGATTGGGTTTTTTGAAATACAACCCTTTCAGTTCTCTGCAAGTTGTCCTAAACTATAAGGAGCTGAACACGTACACTGATCACCTTCTGAATATCTAATCAACTCTTACAGCACTGTTTCTTCCCTGTGCTTCCTCCTTCCTCAGGTATCACCCTGCTTGATCACAGGGCCATGGCAGGTTTGTCTCTCTCTGTTATTGATTTGTCAGTCTGTTCTTCCCAAGGTTCCATCCATTCCAGCTACATTTTCATATAGTGCTAGATATTACCCTTCTTTTTAAAAAAGTTATCAATTCTCTCATTTATTTATCCAGATATACTTTACAATATATGGTTACCAAATTCCAATAAGATTTACAGAAGAATTTCATGTTGAATCTGTGCTGGATTTGGGGGAAGCCCATGGACAGTGTCTGGACTTCTGCCCTTCTTCAGTCTTCCAGGGTTGCTTTCTTGCCTCAGAACGTTTGATAGTTTTCCTCATTGTGTCCTGCACGTTACTCGCTAAGATGATTTCTAAGTATTTTACATCTCCATTGCTATTATGAATGCCACTTTGAAAACATATATTTCAATTTGGTTATTCTTGCTGGTATATTTTATATTTTAACATTGGACATATGTGTTTCTTATTAAATGGGCAAACATATGTTGCCTACACCTTGATTTATATGCAGGATAAACATCAATCTATAAAACCCAATTCCACTAGTCGTATACTTTATCTATCAAGCTAGATGTCAGCTTCCCAACGTGTCCATCCTTCTCTGCAAAGCGAAGGCCTCCCGAGAGCCTGGCCCCCCAGAATGGATCACGGCACGGAATAAACGAGCCCACAGCTCCCGAATCACTGTCTCTGTCCTCACCTGCATGGATCTGCAGGGCTCGTGACACAGTTTGTGTCCCTAGGGCTCAAGAGAAACTTATTTTTTTCTGTAAAGATATTAAGAATAGGCGACCTAAATCCTTTTACTAAGAGAAATTATATCCGGAAAAATATATCTTTTCCTACATCTTCTAAGCTAGGCTTTGTTTTTAGCTAGTGGGCGGGCCCAACCCAGGGGGCTTTGGGAGTAAAAGAGACTACTCGCTGCCCCTCTGAGCATGGGCTGTTTCAGAGGGAGCTGTGGAGGGACAGGAGAGGAAAGATGCCCAAGGAGGCACAGGCCAACCACCCTGCACAGCACAGCTGAGGTGACTGACACCCCCGGAGCCCAGCCTGCCTGGCCAGCTCCAAATGCAGTCTAGGTGGGCTTTCGCTAAAGTCCTTTTATGGATCCCCTCAACACTGCTAGCTCCTTAACCTAGCACTTGCTGCACACTTACAAGGGTGTTGGCACGGGTCAATTAAAAGATGTCTGAAAGGTGTCTCTATCTAAAGGTATCTGTGATCATTTTGCACATCCTGATGCAATACGGGCAGAAAGAATTCAACAGATTCAAATGCTGGCCTGCGCGGCTCCCTCTGTGGCCACGCTGAGGTCAGATGCTCGCTTCTTCCTGGGGAAGCCGTCCTCCTCCCGAGTCTGGGAGCGGGAAGACATCACTGTGCTAGTCCAGGTAATCTCACCACCAAAGGAAATCTAACGTTTTAGGGTGAAAGTGATTCTTGCTACAGGGTAACATTTAATACATATTACTGGCACGTAAGTTTATTGATGTGGATGCCAATAGCGAGTAAGTAGGTTGAAAGTGTCAGCAGTCAGTGGCCTAAATGTCTGTGTTTAGGTAAGTACCTGGCACACGTCCGGGCTCCTGTTCACACAGATTCATTCCCCCAGGTCAGACTCAGAGCACTGCTGTGAGGGTGGCCAGGCAGGAATTATCAGCCACATTGAAGAGGCGAGCCCTGGGTCACATTTGAAAACAGACTCAGGGAGGAAACTCGAACTCGAGTCTCAGTGAAATGAACACTGCTTCCCCATCTGGCCTGGAAGGAGCTCTCGGACAGCTGTGAGATTACAGATCGATTTTTTAGTGACTAAAATGTTGGCAGAAACAGACAGAAAACAATACGCTGTCTGTTCCTTCTGTTTGTTTTGTCTTTTCAATTTCATGTGTGTATCAGATTGTTGCACAATAAGGCCGGGCATTGTCGGCTGTAAGTCCCCAACAAATATTTGTTGAGTATGGAAAATGGCTTATTAAGCATTAATATGCAAATTATATCATTAGGAGAGCTTACTTCCAAGACCCATTAATTTATTTTTTACAGAAAAATACAATATCTGACTGCTCACATTTTATTTTAAAAGAACATTATCATCCTCTCATCCCTCAGGCTCCTGCCCTGGGGTCTGGGCACAAATTGATAACTATTACATTATTATTATTTTAAAATCCAGTTTCCCCTCTTCCACTCACCCTTAATGCCATTCTATTATAGACCCGAGACTTTCAAAGAAGCCAAATGATAATTTAAGGGAATGTCCCCATTTCACAGGTGAGAAGATTAAGGCCCAGAGAAATCACCTGTCAGCCCCAGGTCCCCGGCTGATCAGTGGCGGGACAGCACGAGGGCCGCAGAGCTCCTGTTATGTGGCCTGCCTCCTCTCGATGCCAAGACTAATCTGAACCAACTTCGCGGCCTTCATTCTGAACAGTCTTCTCTCTTGCTCTCATGTGCCCTTAATAATCTGAGTGTGCTCTGGTGCATTTTCCTTTATGAACTATTTGTTGAACTCAGAAAGTTGAGTGAGGCTTAAAAAATTCTCCACTACTAATTTAATTTCTACCCCACATACAATGATGATTTTTCTAATGGTGGTGCTAAATGAATAGTGTTGTGAAAGAGATTCGCTTCACTTGATCTGTTTATAAATTTCTTACCTCCTAAAACGTTAGGAAGGAATCTTATGACAGCACAGCCACCCCTGAGTGCCCTCTGCCTTCCCGGCTCTCTCTTGGCGCCTTCCACTTCACGGTAGCTAGGGTGGGAGCTGAGGGCCGCCTGTCATACGGCACACCGTGACGCGTCATGGCTCACAGGAACAAGCGCCCTTCCTCTAACCCTTTGACAACCTCAATCCTACGGGGTTCCAGGTCCCCGACAAAGTCCAGCCTCACACTCCACGCAGGCGTGGACGCTCCCCTTGGTCTACAGACGACTGGAATCACAGCCTGAAAGTTTTTACTTGGTCAGCTTCACGAAAAGACAGTTTTAAACAAGATTTCACATTTTATTTTGATCACTAAGCACAAAGAATCGCTACTTGAGGCTTAGGGGGAAAAACACCAGCACCCAAAAAACAAACCAAAAATTTCAAAGGCTCACTATTATTTTAGGCGTTTCTCCAGATTTGAAGAGGGAGGGTTGAAACTCAGGCTCTCTGGTCACCTGCGAGTCTAGAAGGTTGGGAAGCACAACGTGCTCCTAGTGAAGCTGCAATGTCATCGGCCAAAATCATCCCTCCCTCACAGCCTTGGCGGGAGGTGGCCTGCGGGTCCTAACAGGGCTGGGGAGCCGGCTCAGGCCGGCCTGGAGCGAGCTTCGGCTTACCTGGGTACAGCGTGCCCGGGAGGCCCATGCTTTCCAAGTAGTTGTGGCAGCGCTCTTTATGTTCCTCTAAAGAGCTGCGCTGTTTATAGCTTCGGCCACAATATCCACATTTGTGAGGTTTACCAACTGCAGGAAACACAATTGAGTTCAAGACCCCAATTAAAGTCGGCCTTATGTATAATGGGAATGCATGCAATACAATTATTACCAAAAAAATAAAAAAAAATTCTACTCTCGAGAGCTAAAAGCATTATGGACTTGATCAAAATTACTGAATTTAAAAATGTTAATGCTCAAGGGTTTCTTGGATGGTAACAAAACTCACGTGACTCATTTCATCTTAATTTGTCTACTGTACTGACTACCAAATTCTCTCCTTTCTAAATCAGAGATGTCTGTCTTTAACTGGAGGAAAGGAACCTCTGTAGTGTTATCATGTGGATGCCAAACAACTGGACAGAGATGTCAGGAAGGCCCTTGTGTCGGGCAGGTAACTGCAGACTCACCGCGGAGCAGCTGTCTCTGCTGTGAGCCAGACCCGGCGTGATGCTGGTGCCACATCTAATGCAACCAGAGCGGACCCACTTCCAGGATGCTAACCTGGTAATGTGAGGTCTCTGAGAAACCACGGTGGACAAATATGCTTTAATAAAATGAACATTTTATTTCTAAAATGTATTTGTATACAAATACACAAATACAAAATGTATTTTCATCAATATGAAAAAATGTATTTTCATATATATGGAGAATATACTATGCATTTTTCACAAAGTTTATGGAAGAGCTCTGTTTTCTGCCCAGAGAAATTTCGGACGGCATAGCTTCTAGATCAGCCCTGTCCAGCAGCACTTACTGTGATGATAGAAATTCTACCTGTGCTATCCAATATGGCAGCCACCAGCCAGGTGTGGCTACTGAACACTCAAGGTGTGGCCAGTGCCACTGAGGAATGAAGTTTTAACTTTAATTTTAACTCATTAAAATTAAAATATCTCATATGGTTAGTGTATTGGGCAGTATAATTCTATACAATGAGTTTTTTGATTTTACTGAATGGTGTTTTAGGAAAAGATGACTAGTCAGGAACCATATCATGTCTAAGTTTAAAGACTTCAATGGATACCATTTTAAGGGATGAATAAAAGATCTTTAGTCACTTATATAAGAAATATAATTTTCACCCTAAAACCAGAATCTTCTACTTCTTTCTCATGCTGTTTTATTTCACATATTTCAAAGTAGTGTATAAAAATTAAAACCATCCAAATAGGAACGTTTAGTAAAATGATTTAACCAAAGCTTTTATTGGTTAAATCTCTTTCCTAAGTGAACAAAAGCTATAGTTAAAGAAGACTAAAATGAAAACCAAAATTTGACTTCTGGAAAATTTAATAGAGAAAGAAGGGATTTTTCTTTATCTATAGAAAGTGCTGTACCCCAATACCAGGAAATAATGTTGAAATATAGAATGTTGCCTAAAATTGCACATTTTATTCAGTACTGCTTTTATAAATTAATAGAATATAGATAACCACTCAATATCCTTTCCTGCAAAAGCTGTAACTTCAGTAAATTCCATGATCGAAACTACTTCCTGTATACATATGGCATGGTGTCTGATAGCCGTTTTTCTGAGTATATGATTGGTTTTAACTCTGGAACATAAGAAATATGTTAATTGTAAGCCACTGAACTAAAGTCTATCTTGAAGCATTGCCCCATATTGTGCAGGAAAGAAGTCTCTAACTAAGCTCGCAACTTCCTAAAAAGGCCATGAGGAAGGAAGGGGGATTCCTTCCCTACTCGCCCGGATCACCCAACCCTCTCTTGTTATCAGCATGAGACAAGTTCTGTGACTCTATGGCCACTAACATACTGGTCTGTGGAACCTCAGGCCACCACCAGCTGCTAGGGGAAGCTATGGTGTTGATCCTGGTTTTTAAGGGACTAAGGGACCATAGTGGAATAGAATGCAGCCACATTTGAGTTTGCCAGACACAGGCTAAAGTCTTCATTTCATTCTAATGAAATCATTTTGAAGAACCTAAACTGCTGCTTCTCTCTGCAAGAGCTGAGTGTGCATCTGTGGCACTTTCAGATGGCCGAGTCTCCGGCAGCCGGGGTCCATGCTGGTTTCCTCCGCTTGCTCATCGGTGGATCCATAATGGAAATAAACTGCCCAAAGTCTACCACCTGTTATGTATAATCCCGCAGGTAATTAGCCAGACTTAGAGCAGGACACCATCCTGCCTTGAATGGAATAAACAGGCACAGAGCCAGAGTGGCATAACGCGCCACACTGCACTGGAAGTTCCCAACTTCACAACAGGAAGAGAGCACCAGCACTTTAAGTCTTAAGGACAGACATGCAGAGGAGATTTCTCTTGCAAGTCAGAGTGATCTGGGGATGATGACCATATATGGTTGGTGTCAACCTAAGGACGAGCGTTTGCATCTTCTACTGATGCAGGAAGCCGTGCTTCCTACCAACCCCCCAGAGGCAATATTGCTGCCAATGGTGTCTATGCCTACGTGACTCCTTAGAAATAACAGATGTGAAGATTCTTTTTCCCTGACCACCTGTCAGCATGGCACAGACTGCACAAGGGTCACAGCAGAGGCCCACGGGCACCTCCTTCACCGGCAGGTGGGACACACATGCTCCCATACGCGCACACATTCGGAGATGCCGCTGTCCTCCCTCTCGGGGAGCTGCTCTTTCCCTGTCACCCGGCAGCACGCCCCTCCCTGGCTCTGAGCAAAGGGCCCGCCCTGGCCACCGCCTGTGACCTGCCCACAGTATAGGCCAGCAGCTCCTCAGCTTCCTATAACTCTTTTCTTGGAAGGTTTTAAGAAGCTCACCCAAATCGTTATAATTTCCTGATCAAGAACATTTTGGAGCTTCCTCCATGCTCATCATCAGGAAGGAGGTCGGGATGGAGAGAAGACAGCTTGAGGTCCCCCTACGACTCCTCCCTCCCGCCTCCAGCAGTCCCTTCGCCAGGGGAAAAACCAAGTGCTGACAACACTTGCTAAGATGTGTACCAAACCCATTCTGGGATCACTGCCAAATCGTACTCAGTGAGGACTTCTCTAAAGCAAACTTCAGAAACTCACCTTTAGGCATGCACTCAAGCCCTTCCTGCCACGCTCAGTCTCTCCTGACCTTCCACCCTAGGGACCGGCCGACCCTTCGGACGCTCTGTCATGCCTCTCAACATGCGGGTGCTTTCCTCGTGTGCACCTGTCTCCCCCATGGAGCACGAGCACCCTGAGGCCCTCAGTAAATGCGTGATAAAGAGATGGACACAGTGAGGAGCCCCCAAATCCCCAACCATTAAATCCACTCATTGCTTTTGGGAAGAGATAGCCTGGGCCCTGCAGACCTTTCGCACAGCCTGCATGTCCTCACCTCCTTGTCCAGCTGCCTGGGGATGGCAGGAGGGGCTGTCTGAAGCAGCCCCATCACCCACAGCGCCTGCCCAGACACTGTGGCGCCGGGAGGCTGGCTGGACGCTTCTGGGGCCAAGGGCCATCACCCTCCTGCCCCCAAAGCCTTGAGCTATGCACTACGGCAACTGCCCCTGACTGCAGGGTGTGAAGGATACCCATGCACGCCATGCAGTGCCGACCATGCTGTGGCAAACGTGGCACAGGACAGCCTGGCCGAGGGCCCTCTCTTCCCCTGACCTGCAGGTTATGGCTCCTGGATACTGAAACCGCAGGAAGGTGTCTCAGAAGCAGAGGGTCTAATCCAATCAAAGGTGCCTTTGGGCTTCACAGGTTGGGAGTGTTTGGAGAATGCTGGAACATTTATGCTAATGATGATCTAGCTGAGGCTCTGGGTCACTTGGGATGTACTTTATTGACCTCATTCAAAGAGAAATGCCGCTGCCTAAAACCTGGTAACATCCCCAAAGCGGTCTCTCCCAATGTGGCCTCGGCTGGTTTCTGGCTTGAGAGTCACACTCGGACTCTGTCCGGGTGGGTGTGCCCTCAGGTGACAGGGCTATGCCCTAAATCACCTTTGTCATCTCTTCTGCAGCTGTTATTGCTATTAAAATGCCCCATGTAAAGTTAAGTGTGATTTAACAATTAACAAATTAACATAAAGAAAGGTATTTGAAAAACTTCTCAGGCATCATTCAAAGTACAGCTGACAAAATCCTTTACAAAGACCACAGCTGCCTGACAAACTAGGATGAGGCGTCCCCTTCTGAACACACTATCTACGGGAGAGGCACTTGTGTGCGCGCACAGGCACAGGTGCACACAGGCACAGGTGCACACAGGCACAGGTGCGCACACAGGCACAGGTGCACACAGGCACAGGTGCACACAGGCACAGGTGCGCACACAGGCACAGGTGCGCACACAGGCACAGGTGCACACAGGCACAGGTGTGCACACAGGCACAGGTGCGCACAGGCACAGGTGCGCACACAGGCACAGGTGCCCACAGGCACAGGTGCCCACAGGCACAGGTGCGCACAGGCACGGGCGCGCACGTGCACCCACTTCCTCCAGCTCAGTGCGAAAGGCAGAGCATGCGGCATGAAGCGGGGGCTGATGCCAAAGCCATGCTGGCCAGCACCCGGCAGAGGACTGTGCTGGGACCGGGCATGGGGCCGGCCAGCAAAGAGGCGACCTGCTGCCCTGAGCAGGCCAGCGAGTGGAGGCAGGCCCTACCCGGGACTCCCAGGCAGCGCCGGCAGACCTACCAGAGTGCGTCCTCAGGTGGCCTGTGAGGGCGTCCCTCCGGCGGCAGGCATAGTTGCAGAGGTGGCACTTGAAGGGCTTCTCCCCAGAGTGTAGCTTGATGTGCCGGAGCAGGTTGCCCTTCTGGGTGAAGGAGGCCCCGCACTGGTTGCACTGGAAGGGCCGCTCCCCTGGGACGAAGAGAGGAGAGCCAGTGAGAACAAGACCCAGAGCGGGACAAGAGGACAAGGCTGCGAGAAAGTTGTTTCCCACGGGGGCTCGGTGACTTCCACCGGCTGCAGGTTTGATAGAACACGAAGCTTTCAGACTAAACCTGCCAGCTCCTTAACGCTTCACTGGCTGGGTCAATTTGATCTGAAAATCTAATTTTTTTCCCCTAAATCAGAATGGCACATCACAATGCAAATTCAAACTCATTTAAATAAAGTGACTGCAACATTTTGTGATGAAGAGCCACTCTTCCTGATCAGCAGTTTTGGAATAAACCAATATCCAATTTTGCGTGTTGTGGCATTTGGTGGGGTTTTTAATGTGGCTTTTTTCAAAGGGTCTTTAAAATATGCCACTGAAGCAGCAAAATAAAAAGGAAACTCATTAAAAATGCATTTCAGGATCACAAGTTCATTTCAGCGTTACATTCTTATATTTAAATGAAAGGCACTTCATTATAACAGTTATAATAACTTCTTTTCATTTACATTTTCCCTGTATTTTCCCTTTCAATTTCTTCTCCATTACCTGTCTGTCCCTAAGCAGGCAAATCAGGAGAGAGACAGACAGAGTGTGAGGACGAGAGAAAGAGAGAGAGAGATGGAGAAAGATTGAATAAAATGAGAAGTTAAGAAACCGAAGGAAGCTCCCTATCTTCCAAAGAACATTCCCAAATCTCCCTATGGCAGGGTGCGAAGCCAGAGCTGCACTGAGGTTTCCTGCATTTTTCTTTCTTCATAAATCCTAAAACCATTAAGCTTTTATTGGTCTATATCCATAGAAGACAAGTTATATTTTAGGCACAGATATTCTAGGAGATACAATTGAGCGTTATTAAGGAATTCTTTCAGGGGCAGTGCTAATGAATTTGTGGCTGAGGGAATGCCGGGCCCTGGGCCATGTGTGGCAGCACTGTGTCTGCCTCGTGGATCTGACAAAGGGATACACGGGTCTCTGAGAAAACGAAATATGCTACTGTCCTATTTAGTCACAGGTCTTGGAATCTAAATCAGTGAACATTTCATTTAACTCTCATTTAAAAGAGTGAGACACTTGCAAGTAAATACAAAAGCTTTTTTGAAAAACAAGTGATTTATTTAGAAGAAGAGTGCTATGTGACCACAATTCCGGGTGTCAAGACACCATAAAAATATATTTCCTAGGGAAAACTTTTACTTAGGGAAAAAGAAACATATTAAAATGTCTATTTAACCATTTTCCCAATTGATGAATGTGATTATGGTAAAGAAGACCGCACTTATCAAAAGCAATTAAGTAGAAGCATACCTGGTACTATTAAAATCCACACCAGATTAAATTTATAATAAGTCTATATTGGCACTTGAATTTCATGATTATCATCACTTTTTTTTTTAAGTGGGTAGGATAGATGTGCTACTATAAAAGCTGAAACTAATTCACAGTGATATTCAATTATAGGCCAATTGAAGATTCCCTGATGCTGACCAGGATGTATTCGGTGTTTCCCAAATCCCTTCCAGATTAGTCTTGGCTGAACAGAGAGGAAAGGTTAAAGTCAAGCAGGTGATGGCAAAACCAGCTCACTAACTCTCTGAGTTACAAGCCTGTCCCTGAGGCCAAGTTTGGATGGGAGATTAAAACTGCTGGTAGCCAGGTAGCCCTGAGGTGCTTCCAATGGGGAGAGATCATTTAATTATCTATTAGAAACACTCTGGGCCTTCATCGCATGTGTGCGTGAATGTGTGCGTTTAGCTCCAAGTGGACGGCAGGGAGAGGCAGACCCGCGTGCGGGAGACTCAGAGCCAACGGGCATGCTCCACCACAGCTCTCACTCGGACTGGCCGCGCAGGACAGTGTCATGAGAACACTCCTAACAAGGATGTGGGGACACTCCTGGTGACAAATCTGTGTTTGTGGTTCGATGCCAAGCTAGCAAATTCAACCCTATGCCTGCACCACAGGAAACGCCCTGTTCTGCTTGGTAAGGTGCTGGAGTCCCAGCCTCTCCCCAGGTATGCGGCGCGACAGAGAAACACGGGGCAGAGCTAGTGTCTGGGCCGGGGGGAAACAGAAAGGACAGATCATTGCAGCCAAGGCGCCCTTCGGCAGGGCAGGCCGGGCTTCCCCTGCATCCCGCTGTGCCTGGCGTCTCAGTCCCCGTGGGCAGGCAGATGTCACCTGTACGTGTCTGCTTTGACGGCCTGTGTCGGCACGGACAGTCGCACTGGGCATGGGGTCCTGCAGGGAGCACTCCTGAGAGTGACAGCACAAAGTGCTCCGCTCAAGGAAGTTTCCCCTTGGATGTGGTAGGAGGCAAGGGGACGTGCCCAGAGCTGGGTGCGGCACACGGCCCGTGTCGTGGGTGTTCTTGTGTGGCCAGGGTCCACACTTGCCTTCTGCAGGTCAATGGCTTGTTAATGTAGCTAAGAAGGTCGAGATTCTCTAAGACTGTATTCACTTTTCTTGAACTAGGAAGAAGACTTTGATGTCATGATTTCAAAATTTAGTTTTTATCTCAGTGACTCTACAAATCTCCCATTTTAGGGGCCTCTGTAATTAATAGCTTAATTGGGAAAAAAAGAAAGTCTTCATGGACTCCTACATTATAGAATTTCTGAGAGCACATCAGATACTACACTTGATCTTAGCCAAAAGGCCTAGAAGCGATGTGAGAGCACACCAGAATAAGGGAAACGGAAAAGTATGTCTGAACTGCAGGAACTGACCTGAGCTCACCTTGCAGCAGCGTTACAATTGGGTGCTACGTTCAGGAAGTCTGGGACTGTGCCTTCTTACCTTGCAGATGGGAACAAAACAGGTGCAGGTCTATACAGAATGTCCAAAACCCAGACACTCTTCTCGGTCTGTATTATTAAAAATGCTACCATTTACAGTAATAACACCCTGCATGTGCACTCCAAATTCCCTGCTTCCTTCCTACGTCTCTCTTTGATTCTCACACTAGCCCGGAGATGTTGGCAGGGAAGGCATTACTATCACACCTGAGTCCCAAATATGAACCTGATCAGCAAAGCATGGGAAGTGAAGTGCTAGTACCAAGGAACCGTGTACAAATGACACCAGCAGCACTTCACCAAGGCCCCAACGTGGCAGAGGCGAGATGCCCCTGAGAACCCTCTATGTATCAGGAAAGGACCGAGAAGCCCTGGAGCCCGACTTGGAGGAAGAGCAGCAGCCACAGTGCAAGTCCTACCTTGTCCCACGGGGAATCACATCACACCTAAGCGCCCTGATGGAGAGCTGTCCCAAACAGTCTGCACTTCTCTGACTTTGGGGGTGCTCTGCAGTCTGCTCCACACCCCTGGGTGCTGTGAGAAATGCCCGCCCTCCTGTCTCCTCCTGGGGTCTAGCTCAGAGTTTGCATGTTCACAAGCTCTCAAATGACTTACGTGCCTTTTGAGAAGTTTCAGAAGCACTGCTCTAGAAACGTTTAAAACAGAGAGAACTCAGAAAGCACACCTTTTCTAACATATTCACTCAGATCCCAGGAAAATGAAAACCTTTCTAGCATGATCAGTTAGTTATTCAACTCTAGTTTGGCCAAACCACGCATTGCTCTGTCTACCTGTGACCCTCTATATTTATGCAAATGGAAATGAATGACAAAGACAATCCATGAGTTCATTGTTTCAGGTGTTTTGTTTTTCTTTTAAATAAAGGGCAAGGCAGGAACTATAAAATCGATTTCTGGGAGTTATTTGTTCCGTAAGCGAAAACCTCAGTGTCTTGGTGTTTATGGGGCACCTAGCTGCTACTTGTTGGGAGAAGTGAGCGGCAAACAGCAGGTACCAACCTGCGTGTCTGTATTTGGCAGGTTCATTCATTAAATGTAATTATCCTTTTTATCAAGGCAAGTAGTCATTATATTTTGGCAATTTAGTATGCCAGAATTTGATTCACTTATCAAATATTCGTGTAAGAGAATTTCCACCGTACAGTCAGGCTCCACAGGAAGTAGCAGCACAGTGACGCGGGGTGAGGTCTGTGCCCACGGGCGCCAGCGGGGCCTGGCGCGTGCCCACACAGGTGGCCTCCCTCCCCGCCGATGTCCCCTCATACAGAAGGGGGCGGACTGCTGTCGGGCTCACTTCACTTAGCGCTGGATGTGATCAGCCTATTTCACTGGGTAATTTGAGGATTAGGGAACATTAGGAAGAGCAAAGTTTGCCAAATTTTAGAAGTTGAACTTTTACTATTCATCTTTAAGAAACAATGGTGATGTAGCACCTCTTGTATTTCCCTGGATAGAGCTGGAACCCATTCTACTAAGTGAAGTATCTCAAGAATGGGAAAACAAGCACCACATGTACTCACCAGCAAATTGGTATTAACAGATCAACACCTAAGTGGACACATAGGAGTAACATTTATCAGGTGTCGGGCAGGTGGGAGGGGGAAGGAGGGGATGGGTACATACAAACACAATGAGTGAGATTTGTAACGTTTGAGGGATGGTCATGCTTGAAGCTCTGACTCGAGGGGGGTGGGGGGCATGGACAATATATGTAACCTTAACATTTGTACTCCCATAATATGCTGAAATAAAAAAAATGAAAGAAAAAGAAGTTGAACTTTTATTGAAGATAGATACATATTGAAAATCAATTTATGTATTATTTTCTGGACATATTACAAGTGGAATACATCATTTTGGAAACTGCCTTGACTCAAATGTAAAAATCACACTCCCACAAATATCTGTATTTTCTAATAACTTAGCTTTATCTTTTTTTTTATTTCGGCATATTATGGGGGTACAGATTTTAAGGTTTCAATAAATGCCCTTTCCCCCCTCCCCCCACAAGTCTGATTCTCCAGGATGACCATCCCCCAGATGGTGCACATGTCACTCACTATGTATGTATATACCCACCCCCTCTCCCCTCTCCCCTCCCCAATACCCTGTTACTGTAGTACCTATGTGTCCACTTAGGTGCTACTCAGCTAATACCAGTTTGCTGATGAGTATATGTGGTGCTTGTTTTTCCATTCTTGGGATACTTCACTTAGTAGTATGGGTTCCAGCTCTAACCAGGAAAATATAAGATGTGCTATATCACCGTTGTTTCTTAGAGCTGAATAGTACTCCATGGTATACATATACCACATTTTATTAATCCATTCTTGGATTGATGGACACTTGGGCTATTTCCACAGCCTTGCAATTATGAATTGTGCTGCTATAAACATTCGAGTGCAGGTGTCTTTTTTGTAGAGTATCATTGGATCTTTTGGGTAGATGCCCAGCAATGGAATTGCTGGATCAAATGGTACATTCACTTGTATCACTTTAAGGTATCTCCATATTGCTTTCCACAGATTTTTTTGCTCAACAAATTTTCTGAATTCCTGCTTAATTTTTGATGAACATATATTTTTTGGCCCCACATAAGCAGCACACAAGGCTCTGATTTTCAAGTCATCTTCCTCACTTTCCTGAGATATCCTATGGAATCTGCTAGGTCTCTAATGTACACTTTTCATCTTCTTCCCCCCCCCCCAGGTACTGCAGTGGCAGACGCTAGTCCTATGAGAGCCCCCAAGCCAGTTCCCAGCAAGGATGGCTCAGGGTCTCCAGGTTTTAAGGCCAAGCTTTCAGTGACCACTAGAATTGGTGAATTTATTGTATTTTATCCACTTTTAGGGCAGCTTCCCACACAAAGAAAAGTTTCTGTTCAATTCAGAGGAAACCTCCTGCCTACAGTTAAAGGTAAAATGTGTACCATGAATATTTTATTTCCAAGACCCTTAGCACCATTAGTGGTGGTGACTCAACAGTCCTTCTGGACAAGCCTGTGACTGCTCCATCAACATGACGAACTATCAGGGCCGCGTGCAGCAGGCACGGTGCGGCCAACTGAGATTGGGAGAGGAGCCTGCTTCCCGCACCCGGAGAGAGAACACCCTGTGAGCCTGGGCACAGCTCTCTGACACTAGATTGCCCATATGCCTTTTGTGATATGGAATATCACTTACACTTTGAAAGCCTCCAGTAAATCTTTCAAAAAGACAGGGGTCTTGGCATGAAATTTTTGTTATCAATTGAGATGAAAACTAGTGGCAACCAAACTATCCGATTCGAAGTGTCACCTGTTAGATAGAGGGTGAGCCCTTTGAAAGCTGATCCATGCTCCCTCTGAGAAACTCAGTTTTGCTGCTATTCCACCATTTGCTAATGTTTCTAAAAGCCAAGCCCTGTGAGTTTGAATGAAATTAAAACACATACATTACTCATGGTTTCTCAGTGGGAACTCTGAGGAGAAGGTTTTGCTGTATCAATATTCTTTGTTTTGTTTCGCTGGAGGTGGACCACTTAGCACGGGCAACCTAAGGGTGCAGCCCAGGCTGTTTGTCTAGCATATATCAGGCCCTCCACAGACTTCTCATCTGATCTGGTCACTTTTACCTTGTTTTATTTACACGGCTGAGTTGGTATGTGTTGGGAAGTCCTTTCAGATGTTGTTTGAGGAGAACACCATAACTCAGCACCAGCTGGCCCGGGCACCTGCAACACCTGTGTGGCCAGCCAGTTGGAAACATGCTCAGAACCCTCACGGAAGACAGGACCTTCCTCCTCCATCACCCCACAGACCTTCTCCAGGCCACTAAAGAAAAACTGCTCCCGGCCTTACCAGTGTGGCTTCTCTTGTGAACCATGAGCACATTGGGCCCGATGCAAATGATCCCACAGATATCACACTTTAGCTTTCCGTTAGGAAGTCGAATGCCTCCAACTCCCGACAAAGCCGCGCTGCCTTGGTCCCTGTGGGAGCCATTCATTTTCTCTCCCGAGGCATCAAGCATTCGTAAATCCTCCGCACATTCTTCCCCATTCATTTCACAGGCACGCCCATTCTCTTCATCACTCTGAGTCTCTACTTTAACATTACCGGCTGAAAGACACAATACAGGAGGCCACTCAGTGACATTGCAAAAAAACCACAACAAAACAACATAGCAGCAAAAAGACAATCAAATAAATGCGGCGAGCTACTAAACAGACGTTCTTGGCATATACCAAAGGGGTGCGGCCCGAGCTCCCCTGCGTTCAGCCTGGACGGGCTCTGCGGCACGCCCCGGACAGGCGGGGGTGCAGGCTGGAGGGCACACCCGCCAGCCCTCTCGACAGACCCGAATGGCGAGTGTCTGAAAATGCTTGAAAAAGCTGTTTATCAAATCCACACTTCAGAGTCGGGCCCTCACTTTAAGCAGGTTAAGGTCACCGATCCACAGCCTTGTGGAGCCTCAGGAGGGGTCTGAGGCAGACCCTACCCCCGCCTGCCAGATGAGCGCCCTGCCTCGAGGGTGAGCACTGCTTGGGTCACACGAGCCAACTCGCTAGGACGTGTGAGCTTGTTTGGCACAATCCCTAAGATAGTGGTCACCAAGTCTGAAAAATTTCCTTTTCTCATTTCATGTAAACAGGCGGGGACTTTGGGACAAAGCTCAGCAATCCCACACTCAGAGTTCCTCCACAGGGCCCTTCGCGACTCCTGGAGGCCCTTCTGCCTCTTCGGCTCGCGACCATTCTAATTCCCTTTTATCTTGCAGTGGCGTAAATGAATCCTGTGTTCCCAAGGAGGGGTGTCATTTCTTACATTTCTCCCTTTTGCTGAAGGTTATTTGGGATAGTTTATGACTGCACCATTTCTGGAAGAGCTTTTCAAGGAGAAAGATGCTTGTGTGTGTGTGTGGGGGGGGTGGACTGCCGTGTCTACGTGTACAACCACCACTGTTTACTCTGTGTCATTGTCTCCTCTAAGTCACATGTAGGGGAATGATGTCATCTGCATATTTTTCTTCCTAGAGAAAATAAGAGACATTTCGTTTGCGTGCTTCTGAGCCACTGACAGCGAGTGGGTGAATCCAACACAGTAAGGACTAGCAGAGCCTGCAGTTAGCCCCCAAAGCCATCGTTTTAATCATCATTCATACAGACTAAAAAGTAAAAGTAGGTACATTTTGCCAAGTAAAATAGTCAATGAGATAGATGACAATCAAGACTGCATAATTTTCTATCGATATCTTCAACCAATGGTGCTCAGAGTCTGGTCCCTGGAGAAGCAGCGTCAGCAACCCCTAAGGACTTGCTGGACGTCCAGACTGCTGGGGCCGCCCCAGGCCTGCTGGCTCAGAAACCCCGAGTGGGCCCAGCGATCTGTGTCAATGAGCCCTCCAGGGCATTCTAATGTACACTCGGGATTGAGAACAGCTATTTTAAGTAACCAACTTCGTTAATAACACTCTGAATTTGTTTTATTCAACAAAGTCTTCTCATCTGGAGATCTGGAGTCCAGACACTGAAATCGAACTACCTGGTGTGGAATCTCAGTCTACTATTCAGAAGCTCTGAGATCTTGGGCAAGATTTTCTCATCTGTGAAAAACGGGACCCACCATAGCACTAGCCCATCAGAGTTGACACACGGGAAGTTAGGGGGGACAGTGAGGGGACATGGCAGGCGGAGCCATGCACCAGTGGCTGCCTGTGTCAACGGCCATATGTGCTGACACCCTGGCAGTCCCAATGCAGCTATCCCATGGAGTGAGGCGCTGTCCACCCGACACCACATGCCAGCACACGGCTGTTTAACCTCCACGACAGCTCCATAAGGGAAGAACTATTACTGTCCTGTTTTACATCTGAAGAAGCTGAGGCACAGACAGGCTGAAAACTTTCTAAGGTCCCACAGCTAGCAAGTGGCAGGGTTGGGAGGTACTGTAGGCAGCCCGGCTCCAGCCGCACAGTCCTACCACTATCCAGATGTCCCCCAGGATCGCAGGGCATTGCTTCCAGGACCCACAGACACCAACTCTGCGGGTGCTCAGGTCCCCTAGGTGGCCCCTGGAACCTGCAGGTGAAGAGTCCGCCCTCCATATCCGAGTGTATTTCCAACCCACAGTTGGTGGAATCTGCAGATGCAGAGCCCATGGGTACGGAGGGCTGCCTGCCTGCCGGTGTTTTCCTACTAGCTCTTTGGAGAAAAGACACACAAATAAAGGAATAAGATAAATTAACTAGAACATGGGCCACAGCCTCCGTGGTGGAGCCCAGAAGTGAGGATGTACCTCCAGGCTGAACCGTGGCCCCATCTTTTCCCACCAGATCCTGGCATTAAGGCAGACTGAGAAGTCCAGCAGTGGGGACTCTCCAGTGTGTTTCCCTGCAAGACTCTGAAGATCAGGGCCCAGCACCTTGCACCCACGCAGCCTCCCGCTGACCTGACCTCGCCACCTGCCAGAGACAAGAGACATGGAAGATACAGGATACAGGTTGGCCATTCAGGCAAGGATGCTTAATTATTGCTCAGCTCTCTAGAATCCACATTCTCAGGTAGGGGCTGTGTATCTTTTTGGGTGGAAGCGAATTCACTAGGCCCTCATTGCTGTCCAGTGTCTGCACCAGCCTTCCCTGGACACATGGTGAAGCTGCAAAGATCTGTGCACTCCTTAACCTGGGATTATTTCTAATCATCCATCTTGTGGTTCTTAAAATGAGATCAGGCCTTTCTGGAGCACAGTGGAGCAGACTGTGATTCCATTGGTGCTGTGTCACAGGGCTGCAGCAATGGCGGGAGCCAAGCTGTAAATATAGACTGGATCTCAAAAGTTGAAACCTAATAGTTATGATGTAAGGTCCAGTGAAATGGAAAACACATGCTCAAGCTGAGGGTGTCTAGGCTCCCCGTGTGCACGTGTGCAAAAGGTTTCTGGGGTTTTCGTTGAAGGCGAGCCCAGTCGGTGATGTGGCTGGAAGGAAGGAATGGCTGAAGAAGTGGTTCTGGTGTCCTGCGCGGACCGAGATCCGAGTCCCTGGCACTGGCCCCTGACCGTGCCTCCTGTGAAATGGGCAAGCAAGGCGGAGCGGGCGGCTAGGAAAGGAAGTCCTGGGACAGAAACCCTGCAAGGAATGGCCAGGGCCCTGCACACGCCTGCTCAGAGAAAGCAAAGGCCCAGGCTGGGCAGGAGCAGCCAGGAGAGACGCGCCAGGCCAAGCAAGGTCAGCGCCTCCCCAGTTTGGCTCTAAAGCGAAGAGAAGGCATTGAGAAGAGGCGACTGGGAGATAAATGAAGGAGGAGGTCCTGCCGCGGGAGTCCTCTGCACAGGCAGGCAGAGGGCAGGCCCTGGAGGTTGGCAGGCGCCCTGGTCTCAGGGCCTGCACCCCCGTGGTCCCGTGGACGGCCTCCGCCGACATGCCCCCTCCAGGAGCGAGACAAGGCCTCCGAGGGCCCTTTCCTTTACCTAGAAGAAGTTAACATGTGGTGTGTGGCCCGTCAATGGCAGTGTGTACGTCACTCACGGGGAGGCTCGGCAGGTGGGTATGGGTTTCCACAGACCCTTTATTAAGATCTCGAAATCCACCTGCAGAAGCAATGGCACCAGTGGTTGCTTCCACTAATGAAGGAGGAGTTTGGGACAGATGATGGGCATTTATTGAAGCCGCCCACCTCCCGGCAGTCTCATACTGCACTCTGAGTACCAAACATTTACTTTTCCAGTAAATGGAAAAGTATTCTAAAAAGGAAAAGGAAATGAAGAGGAAACATAACCCATTTGTAAGGTGAGGACTGCCAGTGTACATTATACCTATGCATTAAACATAGGTATGCAAGGCTAAAGGGGTATGCAAGGCTCCCAGTGTACTCTGTTCAGCATGTCACGTGAGGAGTCCTTTCATTTGCTTCATAACAATCCTTAAATCAAACCTGTCCCCAAATTCATTCTGTGAAATAGTCTCCCCCTAATTTGCATTGATTGTGTTGGGTTGGCCCCATGGATTCGTCCCATGGAGAGCTAGCCAGGGCTCAAGCTGACTGGAACTGTCTGAACACCTGAACCCTCCAACTCCTCCACTAACTTGGACCTGGAACTGCTTAGCTGTGCTGCTGTTTCCATGAATGGAGCACTCTCCCTGAATACAGGGAATATACTTATAAATATTTTGTAAACTCCCCTACTACTTAAAAAAATGTTGAGCTCAGTACGATGCTGAACTGAGCTGATTAAATATACAACGTGAAATGGAGACGTGTCAGTTTCTTTCCCCCAGAACACTCTGGCTCAGGCCCGCCCTGGGCTCTTCCACTGACTAAGAGATGATGGACAGGGGCCCAATTTTATTATGCAATAAACGTGACTTATATTAAGAGTGGGTGTTTTCAAACCCCCAGTCAAAAACTACTTTCCTTCCAAGATGCTATTTACAAATAGGAAAAATTAAAATTTTACTGTCATATCTTAGAGGACTTCAATCTTATTAGTTACATAACAGTCCTGAGAGAGACCCTGTGCCCATGAATATAAGGTGGAATCTATTGACAAATTTAGAATTGAAGAACCTGGAGACTCCAAGGAACTCAGAGGCCAACAGGAACTCAGAGGCCTGAATTTGCTGCCAAGTGTTATATGCACTTACAAATAATTAATCATTGTTTAATGCATAGGTATAATGTACACTGGCAGTCCTCACCTTACAAATGGGTTATGTTTCCTCTTCATTTCCTTTTCCTTTTTAGAATACTTTTCCATTTACTGGAAAAGTAAATGTTTGGTACTCAGAGTGCATTTCTCCATCGAAAAGATAGTCTGAAATAGCACTCCAGTATGAGTTTGGGCCATGTGAGCTTGAAATGTTCAGTATTTTAAATAAAAAATGTAACACAAACATAGTCTTGCAACACTAGTGACTAGCAAGTAAAAATCAAATGACAAAAAACATTTACAATGTATCTTGAATCATGGTAATTAAATGAAAATTTGAGATGAAGAGGAGATTTATATGTATGTTTTTGTGTTGCCTCTAAAAGAGACTTATGAAACTTTTAGACATATTAAAGGTCAATGGACCAAAGGTCAAAGGTTTATTATAATTTAATAGCATTTAAAATGTAGAGTTTTTTTGTCAAGGTACATGATTAGAAATGTTTTTCTCTAATGCCTTTAAATGGAAAGAAGTGGGGAAGAGAAAAGAAAGACAAAAGAGAAGAAAGGAAAAGTATAAAAGAAGAACAAGTTATAAACATGTAGACATTTACCTCAGGTACCTAAGGACACAAACTGGAATAAAGAAGGTAGAAAAGGTCAAAAAGGCTGTTTTTAATTTTTGAGAAGGAAGAAAAGAGGTGTGAAGGGGCAAAGAGGGCAATTCTCCATTGTGACCACATGGTGGTGATATTGGCCAAGAACAGTTTGGTTGCTGTTGGGGTGGGGAAGTCCTGGAGATCTCCGGGCCATTAGTGTGAACAGGAGATTACAGTGTGAATACTGTGGGGAGTGGGGAGAGAAAGGGAGACACTGACACCTCATCAGCACATCTATTAACATATATATGAGGTATATCAAAAATACATTATCATCTATGTTTTAAAAACTCCAAATATATCTTCTTCATAGGCAGCGATTTTTACAGACTGAAGTTTTCACCGAAGGATCTGCTTTAACATTATAGTCAGTATGCTCCGGCCTACACCCTCCTCCACTTAACAAAAATATGTCTTATAACACATTATTTTACTCTTAAGTGCATTTAACTTCTCAAAACATTTCAACAGTATGATTGTTCATCTCAAAATCAATACCATTTCTCTGTCCTAGTACCATAATGTTTTCTATGTTCACATAAGCACACATTTATACATATATACATATATCAACATTTACATATACATACATATATATCTCACAGAAATAAATATCAAGCTATTGTTTTAAAGTGGAATCAAAGGAGTATCAGTAAGAGAAAGATTTCTATGAATTTTATATTTGGAAGAGTAGTCAATTTAGTTTGTGAGAAAAGGGGTATACTTAGACTGACACTGCTAAATCCTTTAGATACCAGGTAGTTTTTGATAACCAGGATGTTAGAAGCCTAAACTGTTTTTGATACCTTCGAAATTAGAGTCTGAGTCATGACTGTTATAGTGTTAATGAACACAAACTGTTTTCTGATGCTGTTTTATAATATTAGAGAATTTACTAATCCAGGTTCTGAAGGCCTAAGTCCTAAGGGGGGCTAACAACTTGCATGACTTTAAATATTCAGCTCTCCATGCAATTTTAAAAAGTACTTTTCATTCTTTACGACACTCCTTCAAGGGTGTTGCCCAAATGAATTTATCATTTATCAGCTCTCAATACCTAAAAAAGAAAAATGAAATTAACATCTGTTTTTGGTTTAACAGCTCAGATCAGAGAAGGTCCCGTCTGCGCCCAGCACTGACAGTGTGCTTGCTCATGCAGCGAGCACCAGACTGACGCCTGGGAGCCTGTGATTTTTCTCTTCTCAGTTCTGAAATTAATACTCCAGAGCAGCACATGGGGGGTATGTGTTTTTCCCCTGTCCCACAAAAGTGTAAAAATTATCTCGAAACCATATTATGTTGTTTGATGGTGACAGGAAGTATGGCCATTTTATCCTCACACTCAATGAAAAGGAGATAACCACAACACTAGTAACAAAACGGCCCAATAGCATCTGCAGAGTAACAATCCCATTGGTACTATTCTTACTCCTACCCTTACTGTTACCCCACTGCCCTACTCCTGAGTACATTGCTCAACTGCCTAAACCTTACTTGTGTACTTCATTATATAAATGGTGTCCCTGATGGTAGATATTTAATGAATAGAATGGTAAATATTTGATTTATCTCCTTTTTTCAAGTGTGAAGGAAAGTGTTCATGCAGGAACATGCACTCACAATATTTACACGATGGAAACTGAGTATGAAATGAACACATATTTCTATGTTCTAGAAGCAAAGCATATACTTACGAGAGAAAGATTGGGGAATTATTGCATGAAAATCCCTAAAGTCATCAGCCCCATATGTAACTGCAATAAAGAAGGCAGAAAGAAAGCTGGTTTGTGATACCATTAGAGAGATATAGTAAGAGCTTAACAGAAAGCTTTATTTATTTTTTTTAAAAAAACACATATTATTGCTCAAAACCGTCGTTTAGCTACTCATCTGCTGTATAATTGGCCCTCGTATAGGCAACAGAAAAGTGACCACTCAGAAATAGGCTGAATCCCCGGGTCTTGGATCACAGCATTTTATCATATGGGCAGTTGAGAGCAAGCACTGATGGGTCCAGCACCCTAGAGGCGGTAACCCAAACATTCTAGAACTGTGAGAAGCCGTTCGGCAGAACTGGCCCAAGACTCCGGCCTCGTTACGGGCGTCTCCTGGAGAGCACGCATCTCCACAAAACAGGGTCTCTTAATGAGCCGACCGCATCGAACTCGTTCTCCATTCAGCTTCTTCTTAGAAAGTGTTTATACAAAATCGGAAAATGTTCATGCAACCCCTGGGTAGGGAAAAGTCATGTCTTCCCCACCCCCAAGCGGAGCGGCCGTGCTGCGAGCGGTCCTCTGAGCGGCTGGCATCGGCACCACCACGCCTCACGCCCTCCCGCCCGGGCTCTCTTTCAGCTCCCGGCGTGCCCTGCTTCCTGAGACCGCAGGGCCGCGCCTTCGCCCGCCGCGCACGGGCTTCTTTCCGAGGGCCACGGCCCGCTGCCTGTCAGAGTCACGTGCGCAGTGCAGCTGCTGAGCTAATCTTGTTGGATGAGACACTAAGTAATAAAGTCTCCAAAGTGACCTGCAGGAAGCAGACCTCTTGAACTGTGCTTAAACAGTTTTTCCCGAATTTCTCTGACCACAGAGCCTCCCTTTTTCCTCATGAAAAACTTAATAAATTATTGGGATAATGGGCAAACACAGTTTAGGAGACACTTTCAAAGCTGTTTCTTGAAGTGACTTGCTTAATTATCTCCTAGCAAACCCTTCCTCTTCATCTATTCATTTTGTTTGCTGACAGTTCAAACCTAACGGATAAGGCCGACGCCATGAATCCCATCAAACAGAGCTACTGCGAGTGGGTTTGCCCTGCACGGATGTGCCTGCTGGCCTGCACAGCCAGGTGCACGGTAACCTTTGCGTCCTTGTCTTCACGGAGCGCTCTCCCCTTCCACAAACCCTCTGACCTCAGTTATTCTGCATGATGGGGCTTCTCCTATCTCAGCTACTAGGAGAAAAGGCAAAGGTGGTTTAAAGGGTAAGTATCAATTGCCACTTGAAAATAGGGCAACAGGTGATAGGGTCTGAAACTCTCTGAAGAAATAACAAAACACTGAGATACACCTGATAATGGTGACAATGTCCACATGGTGCTTATGATTTGAAAGTGAACTTTCAAATATACCTTTCACCCCTGAGGCCAGAGCTGTTACCCGTCACATGCGTGACGATGACCGCAGCAGGGGGAGGTACCATGTTCACCAGTGTACTGAGGAGTAAAAAAGCTTAGAGACTGTAAGTGAACACACGTGTCTAACGTTGGTGTCACCACCAGAAAGTGTGGGCTGTGCGGTCTTGGGTAATCAAAGACTAAGCCTTGAAATAACAACTTCTGCCAGGACACTCTCCACTCTCCACTCGCCATTTAATATAAAGAATATTGCAATACACTATTAGACATTACAGGTTAATCACTTTTCAAGAGAATCAGCTCTTTGCCTAGCGTAATTCAAAGTAGTTTGTTAATTTTTGTCCTAAATACTTGGTTCCCTAAAAATTACAAAAAGTTTAAAAAGCAAAATATAGCTTTAGCTATCAGTTTGTTCCATATCCCCAGAGTAAAGCTGAATTAATAAGAACTCACTCTCGTGCCTGTACCATCCATGTTCATGCATACAACTTCTTTTTTTTTTTTTTTTTGAGCTAGAGTCTCATTCTGCCCAGGCTAGAGTGCCGTGGCATCAGCCTAGCTCACAGCAACCTCAAACTCCTGGGCTCAAGCAATCCTCCTGCCTCAGCCTCCTGAGTAGCTGGGACTACGAGCATGTGCCACCACACCTGGCTTATTTTTCTATTTTTAGTAGAGACGGGGTCTCACTCTTGCTCAGGATGGTCTGGAACTCCTGACCTCAAGTCATCCTCCCACCTCAGCCTCCCAGAATGCTAGGATTACAGGTGTGAACCACCATGCCTGGCCCCATACAACTTCTGAGTTTAGAAAAAGGAGTGTATGTTATTCTAGAAGGACAGGTAATTATGCACAACAGGGAAATGTGTAAACAGCCTGTTCTATGCTAAAGTCCAGTATTTCGTGGTAGTCACTCACTTTATAAATGCCAGGTACTATGGAGCACTTCCCACAAGCAGCTGTTAATCCCCACGTTGTCCTGTGAGGCAGGCATTATTAACATTTTACCAAGAAAACTGGGGCTCAGAGAAAGTTCTGGAATTTGCTGTCTTGGTGGTTAGCATGTACATTTGCAAATTTGAGACACCTAGTTAACACATAATAATCAGAATTCAAAATGCACATTCTCTCCATGTAAGCTTCTTTGGGTAGCAGAGTCCTTGTGGAAGCTGTGTTTATGGTGCCTGAGTGACGATGCAAAGTGTGTTTGCTGCTGCAGCTGCAGAAGCATGTACATGCTTAAGTGTGCTGGCATGTGCGCACACACACACACACACACACACACACATACACGCCCTCACCTGCAATGGGACATGGGGAGGAACGGTGCACTTACCAACAGAGTCCCCCAGACAGTGAACTGATTACCAACCAAGGAACCGATGACTGGGAAGGTGTGCCCACAGGGCCTCTGTAGCTCTGCCCTTGTGGCCCTCAGGGGCCCAGCAGCTGAGCCTGGCATTCCTCGCCCCACCGTGAGGGCAGGCGGCTGAACAAAGCACAGGGGAGGCCAGTGTGCACAGTGGTCCCTGACAGCTCCTCACGCCCCGCCAGCTGCTGGCCCGGGCTGTGCAGACTGACGGTGTCCCGCGTGCTGTGGCGAGCTGTGGACAGGCCCCGCAGCCCTGCGCGCCACTCGTGTGGGGATGTGCAGGCGCAGACGCCACGTGCCCAGGAGACAGCCCTGCCTCTGAGCCGGCTCTCGCTGGCCGGGAGAAGCAGCCACTGTGGTGTCACGGAAGTCATCCCTCAGTGACTAACTCTCAGCCTTCTTCTCACTCATCTAAATTCCATCTCAAATTTCAGGCCATTGTTTTATAAAAGAGCACAGATTTTAAAAAGTGTTAAATGTTTTTCTAATTTTCTAAATTTCTGAAATACATTCTTTTTATCAAAAGTAATTTTAACTCATTTGGCAGGAATTTCTATTCCCCAAACTGTCATGCATATTTTCATATAAAATGCTGTGAACACCCCAGATTCGGAATCTTATTCAGATTGCCAAACTGATGAACATTATGGGAAAAAAATGAAATGCCCGCAAACCACACTTTTCAGTTTTCATTTAGCTGTGCATATGATTATCAACTTCTTCTGCTGTTGTCACCTTAGGGAGAGGTGGAACATACTTGAGATATTCAAAACAACAGGGAGGAGATCTGCTCCACTTTCAAGTCCAAGAAGAACACTGACACCTTTCTGGGGAGGGCAAACACATTTAGATTTGTGTTTAAGTGAATCTAGGAACATGCTCTAGTTGGACTTTTGCACATATTCTTTAAGCCATCCTACCCTGCCAGTCACTGCCAGATCACTAGTCTCACATTCACTCGTCTGAGTGCGGTCGCAGTGGCCTTGGCAATGCCTCCAGCCAGCTCTCTGTGGGAGGGCACCCCACCCGTGACCGAGCAGTGAGAGCCAGGAGGGAAGCAAGGCGAAGGTGGAGGGGAGGACCCGGCGCCCCACACAGCACCGCGGGCCTCGCTCCCGAGGGTGCTAGTTAAATCCCGAATGGGCACCAAACCCAGATGCTGTGAAAATCCTTCCAAACCTAGACATTCTGTGGACGGATACATGTGTTCTGAGACCACCCTGCAGTGGGGGCTCAGGGCCTTCCCTGGGGACGAGAACGCGAACCGAGGCCCGCTGGCTGCCGCTGCGGGAAGGCGCTGTTGCTCCAGCGCCGCGGGAGCCGCAGCTACAGTGCAAGCAAGCCCCCAGCGGACCGCAGCACAGGCGGGCCAGCAGTGCGGGCAGGTGTGATGCTGCACACCGCAGCTCCTCGGTGACTGGAGACTCCCCAGCGGTCCTGCCTCTGCCCCGATAGTCGCAGCCCTGCTGTGGTGTTTCTCCTCCTCGCTCCATCAGCTCCTTCTATTCAGACAGCAAGGGGCCTGCTGTGTCTTACCAGCCCGGGTTACTGCACGGCCCCCAGCACAGAACCCTCCGCCCAGCAGGCATGCACCATTCAGAACGGGAGCCTAGCAGAAACAGGCCCAGGGCCCCGGCCATGGGCTCCCAGGGCCCTGTCCGCATAGACTGCCCGTGCGGCCCAGGCCGGCACACGAGCACCCAATCCAAATCCTCCTCCTCCGCCAGACCCCGCTCTCCTTGCATCCCCACACGTGTGGCGATGCTCCATCTCGCTTCCGTGCGTTTGACCCACACGAGGCTCCTGCCACTCTCACCTGACAAAGCCAAATTGTCCCTGAGTCTCCTGCTGTTTTCCATGGCATGGCATCCCGGCACAGCCACGGAGCCGCTGCCATCAGCCGGCCTAGGCAGCCCGGCCGCACCACATCCTGCCCGCGCTTCTTGTCCACCGTCCCGCACGTGAGCGGTTGTTTGCCTCATGGGGACCTCGCTTTCGGGCTCCCTCTCGGTCTACCCTGCCCATTGCACTAATGTCACTGTCCTCAACGCTGCTCTTACTGGGTCATGGCTCCTTCCACAGGTCTGCACTCTCATCATGAGACAAAAACCTCCAGTCCTGCAGTCCTGTGTCAAAATTCACCCCCTTCCCCAAACTGGAGAATCAGGACAACGAACCTTTCAGCAGACAATACTATTCCGATAAGCACAGGGGTGAACCTTATGGAAAAACGCTAAAAAACACCAACACAAA